GTTCGAATTTTCCTGTTCCACCTTAAATGGTGCCTGAGGCAGCCAGAATGTAACTGCTGCACCATTTAAGGTGGAATGGAAAAATTCAAATGAGAATCTGGTGAATGAAAAACCGACTTTATCCTCAGGACTTTTAGTGTTTGTCAGTTTCTCGTTGCAGATTAAACATTTCAGGAAACCAGCTGGAGTGAATATAAACGCAAATAAGTCCATTCATCTCCAAATTATCAATGTTTAATCTCTCTCTTTGCCTTTTCGTTAGCTACTAGCTAGGCGAGATTGTTGTCTGTGTTGCTATGGTGACAGCAGTCTGTGCGCCAACCTTCAGCGTTAAAGGGTGAATTAGCAGTTCTACATTAACTCCAGAGTTTAAGACCATTTATTGTTAAAACTGTGTTGAATGATCAGCAGAGCTTTATTTTACTGTAAAGGAGGATTATTTTATTTTTTCTTAAACATCTAATTCTGCTGTATTTTAATTTATGAATAAATTTTTCATCTGTATTTAGCTAAACCAGGCAAAATCACATCAAGTCACTAACAGTAAAGAGAGTGGCTTCCTTTAAGGCCACTAAAAATCCTGGTTACAGGAAGCCACTCACTTTACTACAAGTGATTTGACTAAATAAAGCTGATTTGCCTTATTTTAGCAAAATACGTCAGAAATAAAACTTAGTAACACATTACGCTCGCTATGCACTTTTTAGACGGTCCCTTAATGACTAAACTGTAGGTCATCTGCATTTTCTGAAACATTGAAGCATGTTTGGTTGGTTTGTTCTCTGTCTCTCAGAAGTGAGAAAATGTATGTTTTATCCAATCAACGTCATGTTCTGCTTTTGTATGAGGTAAAGTAGTTGTTGCTGTTGTATAATATCCCGTAAATCATACAAGGTCATGCCTAAAAAACAAGCCAGCCAGGCTATACTTCACTCACTACATCAAAGTTATTCCACAATGGAGGAAATAAAGTTGTTCGCTCGACAGCCGTTTTCAACTTCAAGAGGCGGATTATCATATCAAACTCACGTCAATTCTATCAATTATGCAGATTTCGGCTTCCATATTTATCTCAGGGCGGTTTCAACTTTCAGGAAATCAAAAGGCTCTGACAAAATATCCTTTATTATTATTTAACTGGATCCGAGATAGCATCTTATCTCCCCTTCCCTTTATGGAGCTCGACTAGAGCTGCCCTATCCACTGGGACAGCCAGTACAGATATATTTGTAATCTGTATAATGTACAACCCAAATATCCTCCCTCTCTATCTCTCGCACTCTCTCTCTCTCTCTCTCTCACATCCACAAACCTAATTAGGCTCCTGCAGGCGGTATAGCTCGTGCCTGTCCGGCTCCAACAGTAACACCAGACCCTGCAGACATTTCATTAACAAACGAAAAAAAAAATAATGAAACCCTACACATATCCTCCTACTTCCAGCCAGTAATCCAATCCCAGCGCTGCTAATGCACCTCTCTAATGCAATCAGCCAATCACAGCACTCAAAGCAGCCCCACTGGTCACATGACACCCTGGCCCACCCCAAAGCTGGGTGAGGGGGGAGCGACGTCATGCTAATGCTGTTTTAATGCATTTCTTAATGCAATTTAGCCCCTCCTACCCTCGACCCAGCCCCACCGGACTCTACTAATCAATTTCAGGCATTTCTGCAGAGACGATGATCCCCGTGTTAGCACTGAGAGAGGCGGGCTAATGACAGTCTAATGCGATTTGTGAACCCAGGCTAGTACTGGAACAGCCTGCCCTCCCTTCCCATCCTACCCACTCACAGGCATTACTATGGGTGGCTAATAGGCCACATTAAGACATGCAGGGCCGAAATGGACTCCAACTACCGTTTTCTTTAGTTACATTGACGGCTAATGGCTAAACCTCGCAGTCTCAACACAGCTAACGAGGCTGAGGCATCCGGTAAGTGTAAGGATGAGGGTGTAGGCTTACGAATTCAAAACATTCTGAAGTGGCAGGAGTGTATCTGTCGAGCTATAGGAGGAATTAATGCCTTCCACGGCTTCGTGTTCAAGAAGAGGCTCAAGAGCTTTCATTAGCTGTGTGTTTTAAAGGTGAGATTGACCAACAGACCCAGACCTACAGCTTCTGCCTTTTAACGTGTACTAGTGGACAGAGCTGCTTAGGAACGAGAGGAACAATTGAGACAAGTTCTCCATTCACTTCCATTCATTTCGGGCCAAAAATAAAGACACATCTGAGCCTTTTTTTTATCAACATATGAGCCTGTCCTCTTCTACAGAGACTGGACCTTCTGTCGTTTGATTCAGAAGCTTGACCACTTTATAGCTTGAATGATAAAGCTGCAATTTGAAACAATGCACGGTAATGTTTGAAGTAGAAGCTCCTCAATAATACAAAGCACGGAGCGTGTTCACTGTACAATAAGAAGAAGAAGAAGAAGAAGAAGAAGAAGAAGAAGAAGAAGAAGAATACTACATATAATTAATAATAATTCTTAATGCTAATTTCATCCAAATGTAATTTTGGTAACCTTTATTATTTTCATGAATTCATTGTTTTTACGTGATTTTTTATGTATAAAATGCTCTGGTTAAGTAACGGAAAACTTCATCCTCCAGTCCTTCATCAGTGGTCACAGGACGCTGGTCACAGGACGCTGCCCACAGGACGCTGTTAGTTGATTGACTATCCTCAATCCAGCAGTGACAGTGAGGCGTTTGAAAACTCCAGCAGCACTGCTGTGTCTGATCCACTTGTACCAGCACAACACAGGTTTGAGTATTTAATGTTTTGTATTTAAGTGATATATTTTATTTGATTTGTTGCTGTAGTGATAACAAATGGAAGCTGAAATCTAAATGGCTGAATTCTGCCACATCCCAAACAGCACACTAGCACACTAAATAGCATGCAAATAATAGTGCATATACCATTAGAAGTGCGCTTTTTAGTGTAGTAGGTGAAGTATTGCAGTTTGTGGTTTGGGAGGCAGCCAGCTTTAGATCAGCCAGTGAGAAGTGTTCCACAGTCCAGCACCTCAAGCGGCTGATTACAGCTCTGCTGTGCAGCTCGTTGGCTGCTCATTAAACATTTTCGAGTAATAGTTTTTTTCTTGTAACTGTGTTCTTTTAACTGCAGCACCATTTAAGGCGGAACGGCAAATCTGAGAAGCTGGAGAATAAGAAGCTAACTTAAATATATATATATATATATATATATATATATATATATATATATATATATATATATATATATATATGGAGTTTATTATGTAAGAGCTTTGGCAGCTTTGGTAGCCAGTTTTATTAGTTTTTATAAAATCTCACACACTGGGATTTTCTGAACTACCCAGGTTACACAAATCCAGTCCACCAATCAAGGTGATCTTCTCCTCGTAGCGTTTTCTGGAGACTGTATCTGAAGTGTCCACATATCTTTTCATGTTTATTGTGGTCATTCTGGTCTAGTCTGCTTGGTCTTCATCCACCTGCAGGGCAGTATCTGTAGCTCACTCAGAGTTCCAGCTTGCCCACCAAAATCAATATGTTAGGGCTGAACTAAATACCGTATTGTGATACTTTTGCATTACAATTACAATACGAGCTTACATCATCTTCTTAAACTGCTTGATCCAGCTAGAGTCGCAGTTGCAATAGGGAAAGCAGAGAAGCCCAGATGGCTCTGTCCCCCACAACCTCCTCCAGCTCACTTTGGGGGATCCCAAGCTGCTCCCAGGGCAACTTGGAGATATAATCCCTCCTGCAGCTTGGGGTCTCGTCCCAGTTGGCTGTGCCTAGTAAACCTTCAACGGGCGGTGGCCAGGGGGCTTCCTACTCAGATGCCTGAACCACCTCAACTGGCTTCTCTTAATGTGGAGGGGTACCAGCTCTACTTTGAGCTCCTCCTGGATGACTGAGCCCCTCACTCTGTCATGTACAGTGTGGCGCACCACCCTGCGAAGAAAGCTCATTTCTGCCGCTTGTATATACAACCTCATTCTTTCAGTCTTTACCCAAAGCTCATGACCACATGTGAGGGTGCAGACCGACCAGTAAACCTTGTGCCTTGCGGCTCAGCTCCCTCTTCACCACTACAGACCAGTACAGGCACCACATTACTGTTGCCGCCTGTCTCAGCCTACAGCTGATCTCATCACTCGTGAACAAGGTCCTTTCTGGATCGGGGCCTAGGCGTGGCGGAAGGGCTTGTGTGGTCTAGGGGTCTTCAGAGCTATGTCATCTCCTAGTAGGCTCTCCCAAGGCGAAGACGCCTGGAGTGATGACCCAGAATAACACGATCCAAAGTTCCTTATGAATAAAAGACACAATGTTTTGTGTACCCTGCCCAGGAGAGGGTTACTGGGACCTATCCCTGGAGCCAGGCTTGGGGGTAGCGTTCCTCAGCGAGAGCCTGGTGGCCGGGCAGCCCGCGTAGCTCAGCCAGGCTCAGCCTGGAAAAGCAACGTGGCAGAGACCATGTGGGCCCACCACCTGCAAGGTTCAGAGTGGGGGACCAATACAGTGCCTCTTAGGCAGCGGGAGATGGCGGGGAGGACCTTGGCGGCATGGATCCCTGCGGTGGAAACTGGACCATGGCAGGTGAAATGTAATGCTTTACATATTAAAACATACTGGTAAACCACTGTGACAGGCTTCAAGCCAGGCCTGCATTAGTTTGACCAAACCTTTGATGTCAGATCACACTGATGCCTTGATTAATCATACCCAACACCCACAAATACTCACATGGGATGTGTGAATTGGTCAGGATGCACACAATAAAACATTACCTGATTTGAGGACTTATTTACATAATGCAGCCTTCTGTAATATCAGTATTGCAAACAATATTACGTTAATGCCTAACAAACAATACACCATGCAGCCCTACTATATTCTCTGTTTCTGAAATGTAGCACACTTGAATTCATACCACCTTCATCCTCCCTGACTTACAAACCCAACTGAAGTCAGAGTCATGTAAATATGGCATTTTGGACTTACTTGAATTTAGCATTCACTTCATCCGCTGCTTTGTGGTAGTTCTCATTGGTGACCTTGTAGAACTGGGCGCTCTGGAAAAGAGAGAGAGCACGAAATGAAACGAAGCACAAAGTTTTCACTCTACACAAATAAAAGATAAGCTCATCAATTTATTCTCATCCTCTCAGACGGTCCGGAGAGGATTGGGGACGGAGGAGAAGAGGAAAGTGTGAGGAAGAGTACAGTTCACCAAGGTACACTTTTTCTCATAAATGGCTTTAAAAAAAAAACAGCAGTGATGGGTATTTTACAGTGTTCACCTCATCCTACTGTACCATTTAAACTCCATTAAAAGTTTATGGAGGGGGATATTGAGAGCAGCAAAGCGTGAAGTGTTTGGCTGATTTTAGTGAGTGGTAAAAAAAAGGGATTTCCTTGAAGTGTAGAGCTAGTGTGATGACATCACTAGTGGCGCGGAAAAACTTGAGGTCACAAATGCCGATCCACTCCCAGGGAATGGACAGAAGGCGGTTAAACGCTGGATTGGCTTGACCTTCTAAAATGTGGCAGTTTGGAAAGATGGCTGCATTCAAGAAGTTTAAAATGTGGTTATTTTGAAACACACACATCGGCCTGTCTCGGGACGGAAATGGACGGGATTGAAGTTCAATGTCTGTAACAGAAAATGTAGAAAGAAATATTCCAGGCTCTTCATCTTAACTAGGCATGCAGCGACATTTCAGACACCGAAACATTTCAGCCGAAAAGGACACTTTTGGTTTCCGTCCAAAAGAGAAATGGCAGAAAATTTTGACGGGAATTACAAGATTTTATAGAGATTAAATAATGATTAACAATTAAATGGATTCAACAATAAAGTGTTAAAATCCTACAGTTAATAAATAATTTTTACTGGTTATGAAAATAAAAAATAGTGAATAAAAACACTATTTCCTTTGCTCTCTTGTGGCGGTCAGTGCAACTGTTTGAGCTGTAGATTGGTGAAAAAATGTTGGCCGTGTGAAACTATCACAGTTTCTATGAAGGACATTAAACAAGTGGTGAATCTCTGTTAATGTTGAGTATCAAGAAGAGGAACGACACCAAAGAACTTCTCCACTATATGTTTAACCTCTTACTGACCAGGTTATATTTTGGTTTTTCCATCTGAATTTACATGACCAAATCGTAAGGCAAATTATTCAGTAACTGCTTGAAATAAATGTACATTTGTATTTTATTTATTTATTTTTTGAAAAAGTTCCCCTCAAATTAACAGAACATGTGTTTTATGATCACACATATTTCTATATGCTTACAATTTACTGCTGAAAGCCAAAAATCTTAGACGCTCTTTGTATTATTTTATAAAAATAATTTTAACAGAGCAGATCACTGAAGAGACGCCATCTGTTTATAGTTTATAGCCCAGATTTGTGGAAAAATTGGTCGACTTTCAGTAGAAAAAAAATTCAGCTTCTTTTATTATAAGGGTTTAAAATTACATCACCCATCTATTTGACTGGAAAGAAGACAGTTACAGCTCTCATACGACCCCCACCTTCTGAATGTAGCTTATGAAATATGAAAGTTATGAAGAATATGACGAAGTGCGTTTTGGAACCACCGGTGGTCTCAAGGAGTTGAAAAGGTTAATACCACTTCAAAAAAAAAAAAATAAAATAAATCGACATCCCACATGATATGCACAATGAATCAAAAAATTTAAAGGAAGGTCCCTGTGAGCATGCCAATTTTTAAATTAATGAAAAAAATTCACAATCCACAATTACAAAAATAACTAAAAAAATACAGGAATTAATTTCTTTGGATGGTCAACTATTCTCTGTTGTCAATGATATTATATTTTATTGGCACATGCTCTATGTTGGTAAATCTTAGTAAATTTATTTTATGTAAACAGCTTTTATTTACTGTCAGCTCAGTTTTGTCTTACTGAAATGCAGGAACTGCATTTCCCTCATTCATTATCCTGCAGTTGTTCAAGTCGTTAAACATGGTTCTCATTACTAAATATATAATAGTAAATACTAAATATATATATATGGTAAATAAACAAAAATAAGTTTTCTTAAGTACCTAATAAATATAATCCAACAAGTAAATGCCATCTAGCCAAGCTGAGTGTGTTTTATTTGTAATGCAGAACAGAGATTTTACTAAAATAGATTTAACATAAAATATTTTTTTAAATGTAATTGTATAAATATCAGGACCTATAGGTGAGTTAGGTTAGATAGAGTTAGTATCGGTATGGGCCGATACTAAAGGATCAGGTATCGGTATTGGTATCTAAAGGGAAAAAGTGGTATCGGTGCAGCTCTATAAAACCCACCTCTGATAATCATCCATTATCATCGGTAACACTGCCACCATACCAATGTTTGAGTCGCTTCATGCTGTCATTGGCTGTTTATCGCCATCAAGTGAAGAATAAGAGTTTTTTTCAATGCAAACGTGAACGCAGCATAATATCGACCACTGGTGTGCATGTAAAGACATGCTAACCAATAAGCTAAGGCTCTTTATAATAAGGTTTATAATAAGGTTCTATGACCGAGGTAGAGGCAGGGAAAGGCTGACTTCAATTGTACACTAAGGGCCGCGCACCATTAGTATGCAGAGACAGTGGAATTCAGATTTCACAGTTAACCTGGGTGCTTAAGAGACTGTTAGCAATGTGTTTGATTCTAACAGGCTTGGCAGTGGTGAAAGGAGTGCAGCGGAATACAGAGCATGCTGGAAAAAAGATCTCAGCCGAACAGCAGCGCTGGTTCCAATCAGGAGCATAGTCTCCAATGGCAAACAGCAAAACAGCTCAGACACTGATTACCAGGGCAGAGACTTTGACCTCACAAACACAAACAAAACCTACTTTCAAGCATATCGTCCCACATCCAGCCTCTCTTGTTCTTGCTTAAACGCACACATAAATGAACAAAACACAAGTGGGGCTGGAGTAGACTGCAATTTGGGTCTTCTACTTTTGTCCTTGATTAACAAGCGATTCGGACACACTGATTTTGATTTCGGTGTTGAACGCGCAGTGATGTAGAGGTCCTCCATCAGTCCCCTGAGAGCCTCCCACATACTCGCTCTCTCAGCCCTCCAAATGCCAAACCTCCACCTGCATTTCCCCACATTTTTCTCCCGAAAACAACACCCAGTAGTCAGCGTCGCAGATTAGAAGATTACCAAAAAAACAATCAGCATCTCTAGTTTTCTTTTCGCCGCCTTTACACAGGTGCTCTGAGGTTGCCAAGAGACCCCCTTTATTCCTTGTTTACAGGTAGACAAAAATAAATGTTTACTTAATCTTTCACACATTGGGGGTGTCATAGACTAATAAAATAATTACCTAAACAACCTAATCCCACCACGGAGAGATTTACACTCTGCAGAAGGAACTTCTCTGTTTTCTGAATTAAATCTCCCCTGCTTTATAATGAGCCAGCCGCACGGCGGTTCAGAGTAATCGCAGGGGTTACGTTATCTCTCGCAGACCAGAGAGGAAGCAGGGGGGAAGCCCCGCTGTGACAGCCATTATGGCACGACGGCGCTGCGGCCATATTGGCTCTGCGGCACGCCAGAGGACGCGTGAGACTGAGCTTTCACAAATCAAAGCTGGCGACCGCAAACGGCGCGAGGAGAGGAGAGCGGCGGCCTGTGGAGCCAATCCCTCAATCAGGCCGTCAGACCAGGGGAAGAGGCTAAACAGGAGAAAGGAGGAAAGCTTCCTTCTACTGCAGCTCCGGCCGAAACGGATCCTCCACTAGAAGAACAGCTTTATCAGAGGCCGTCAGAAGGTGCTGCAGGAAGTGCTGCATGCTAGAACACCACAGAATCAGTGTTATTGTTCGAACACGGCCCTTTAAGTGACGTTCAGCTGAATCTTCTGAAGTAAACGATGTGACCACCACCTGCTAGAGGGAACACAATGTCTGCAATGTTCATGATCAGAGTCTGTTTCCCAAAAGCAGCTTCTGGCCTGTTTCTTTTCTGCCTATTAGCAGAAACTCAGGTGCTTTTTACTGTATAATGTGGCCAAGAACTGCATATCTTGTCATGCTAAGGCAGTTTTGACATGCAAAGTCATATACTAAACGACTTTTCAAGCGATTTCACTGTCGCAGACAAATTTCCAGCGTTTAGTGTAAGGTGGTCAGGATGGCGGTCTTTGGTCAGTCTTTTTCTCGTCTTGACGCTGCGACAAAATCAACCGTGTTTAATATTATCATAAGTTTTGAGTCTTGGCTCATGCAAATAGTGACGTGCCAGGGGCGATGTGAGGGAGAGAGGGAGAGAGAGGGAGAGAGAGAGAGAGAGAGAGAGAGAGAGAGAGAGAGAGAGAGACAGAGAGAGAGAGAGAGAGAGAGAGAGAGAGAGAGAGAGAGAATGCAAAGAGAGTGAAATCTCACAATAATCAAATATAATAGTATTTTAATAGTTCTGGTTCACTGAGCCTGTAACAGTGATGTTTTCTGTGCAGTGGTTTCTTGTTTTGTTTGTTTGTTTTTTATGGTTTAGTTCCTAACACCTAATCAACAGCGCTGAATCACTGCATGTTTCGCTGATGTGTAAATCTTTATGTTATATTGTCGTAGGTTTTGAGTCTTGGCTCATGCAAATAGTGACGTGACAGGAGCGACGTGAGAGTGCAAGGGGGAAAAGGGATGAGTGAGTGACTGAAATCTTTGTAAAAAGGCAAATTAATTTAAATATGTAACCTGTCTTAATATTCCCTTTCACTGAGCCTGTAACAGTGATGTAAGGAAATGAGCAGAGGACTTTAAAAATGGCTTTACTGAGGAAGCATCAATGGTTTTTCCATTTTTTTTTTACTTTGTTACAGTGGTTTCTGATTTTGTTTGTTTTTTATAGTTTAGCTCATAACACCCAATCAACAACGCTGAATCGCTGCATGTTTTGCTGATGTGCAAATCTTTATGTTTAATAAAAAAGTAACTGCATATTTTACAGGTTAATTCTAAAAATACTGGGTGATGATCTGCCAGAATATACAGTTCTACAGTGAACTGGGCTGAGCTCCAGATCTTTACATGACCAGCCA